CTCCAGTTCGTCGAGCTCGAACACCTTGGTTTGAAATTCCACGAGCTCGATTTGGCTTCATCTTAGCCACAGGGTCGTGGCAGAGAAAATCACCAGTGTTTTTTACTCTTGGCGGGACATTGAAGTTTTCTAACGTCTTTGTCCTGTCAAATCGACCATGTGGCATCGCTTGCCCAGACAGGTCTGGTTTTGTCAGCTTCGCACTCTCACCATGTTGTTGGTAGTATGAGCGCCGAGACTTTTCATCAACAGGTACGTTGGTATTTTGCTTATCACGAACATGACTTTCGCACCTATCACACAACAACGTTGCCCCTTTTAAGATTCCACGTGAGTTTGGAGTTTGTTTGGCATTGGCCTTGCCCCCAGACCACCACTCATGGATTTGTTCCCAGCCAGCACTGGTGTGGCAACCCCATGTCGGGTTTGATCGAACTTGCCCCCCTCTCTACTCAGTGGAGGTTTTGGGGACAATTTACATAGAGGATTCTGTTGATTCATGCCAACTTTGGTGGCATTAGATTTTTTCACGTGGTCACCACCTCCATCTTGAGTAGTGTTTGTGGTTATCCTAGTTTGATTTTTCATAAAATGGGGTGGATGTGGCCAACTTATTTGCCACTTACGGTGTTGTTTTTCTTTCAACCGGCCATGCGGTGGGATCTCATGCCCCCCTAGCAGCTTAGATTGAACCCCCTCGCGATGTTGCTTGGACAACCCCTCATACGCGAGCTTGCTATGCTCAACGTGATTGTAACCAGATTGTCCACCCTTATTCTTATTTTCATTCTTATTAGACATATGTTGATACTGACCTCTTTGTAGTGGCTTCTGCAGGCCACCTCCAACTTGGGTGTCCTTAAGACCAATGTTGTTCACTGGAAAAGACACATTGGGATTCCTTGCTTCTGGCAACAATGTTGTAGCCATACTCGTCGATGGCGTTTGGTTGACCTTGGCTAGCCGATCAACCATCAAATCATCGCACGCAATAGACATGGTTTCATATTTAAACACATCAAAATCACATGTGGATCTATGTATTGACATACTAAAGTCAGAAACACAGTCATCCAACTTATCAAACCATCGATCTATGTTGTTCTCAAACTTATCCATTTTCTTTTCAAGATTATCAAATTGGAGATTTACCTCTTGGTGAAACTCCTTCATGGATTGGCGAAACTCCTCCATGGATTGACGTAGATACAGGATTTCATCATGTAGCCGCTCTTCCATCCCTTGAGTACGTCTATCTGCCCCGTTCGCCTGACCAACTTCGATGTCGGGCGCCTCCTCCTCCACAGGTACGTGTGGAAGATCACGATCTTGATTTCCTCGACGCGGAGCCGTGTCAAACACACGTGTCCCACCGGGTGTGCCAAAATGTTTCCTCGGAAAAAACCAAATGCCACCGCCGGTGCCGAATTCGTTTCCGGCGATGTTGATTTGATGTTTCGCGGTGGAAACTCTTGCGGTGCCGTTTGATCGAATGCACCGCTGATTGCTGAAATCGAGACGACCGTCAAATATCCGCCGCCGAATGTCGGCGTCGTTGATTTGATCGATTAAAGAAGAAATCAAGACGATCGTCAAATGGCCGCCGCCGGTGTCGGCGTCGTTGATTTGATCGATACACCTTTGACTTCTAATCAAACGACTGTTATTCGCGGTGCCGGATGCACCACTATCTTCTGACCAAATACCACCGCCGGCGTGCCAAACGACGATGTTGATTTGATCAAATTGATGCGCCACTGACTTCTAATCAAGACGACTGTGACTACGGTTCACACCTCTCCAAACTACGTTCGAACGAGGGTGTTTGAGTTTTGAGGAATCTACGCTACCGCTACTCCTATGGAGATTCCTGTGGAGAGCTCCGCGACTACGACTAAGGCTACAACTATGGAGATCCTTCCTGGAAGGAGAGCTCCGCGAAGGAGTTAGAGAGAAAAGAGGTAAAGTTTTGACAGAGTTGTTCTGTGTTGATTTTTGGTTGTCCCCTTCTCTCTCCTTGCTCCACTGCTTTTATTCGAAAAACTGCTTCGTAGTCTTCACGCTCGGTGGAACCGCTTCCTCAACTGCTCCGTTGTGAAATCCCACGTGTCTCAACCGCTTCGCTCCTCAAACTGCTTCGCGTGAACTTTACGTGAGTTGTTTTCCTGATCCCGCGATGTCGTTTCCTTTCCCAAACAGCTCCGCTTGATTCTACCCGCGACATCGTTTTAATATTAAACGACTCCGCTTCCAGCCTTGCGGTGTCGTTTTCTTTCCCAACCAGCTCCGTTTATTTTTTTTTCTTCCGCGACACTGTTTATTATTAAACACTGTTGTTTGCTAGTATAGCGGTACCGTTGGGCTTCCTCGCGGTACCGTTTTTAATTCCGCGGCACCGTTTTAGCTCCCCGCGGTGCCGCTTATCCCTATCCAACAAGGAATATAAATAATAATTAAATAATCAAAACTCCTCCTCCAACCTTCATTAAACGCGCGGCCCTTTTTTATTTTCGGCCAGCGATGTCGTTTCCGGTGTTGCGGTACCGCTGAGCTTTCTTGCGGTACCTTTTTTCTGATCCGCGATTGGGTTTATTCGCGGTGCCGTTTTTAGCCAAACGACACCGTTTCCCAGTCTCGCGATGCCGTCGAGCTTTGAGGTTCGCGACACCGTTTTATCTCTTCGCGGCATTGCTTGACTCCAAACGGTGCTGTTACTCTCCTCCTCCGACAAGGAAAAAATAAAATAAAACATTCCTTGTCCAACAACAACACATGTCCTACGCATGACTCACACATGGTCTGCAACCAATGTCGTTTCAAGTACCGCGGTACCGCCGAGCCTCTTCGCGGTCTCGCTTAAATTCTCCGCGGTATTGCTCGACTTCAAACGACATCGTTTTGGCCATGCTATATCGAATTAAATGCCGAGACTCATTATTACGGCATTGAATTTAGGCCAAAAATATTTTAGGTGTAAACAGTGTTTTTACTATTACATAGTGTTTAAAATAGAACAACAAATGAGTTGCAACCTAGAGAATATGTTTAATAATAGTAGTGTTCTAGGTTTAAATAACACAGAGATTACTACTTATATATTTTTAATCATACGCAAACTACTACTGAGAACAGGATAATTTTTTTTCATAATTTAATGGTGTCCTGGATTACCAATTATAATTTTTCTTATCCATACAAAACTACTACCGGGGGTGGATAATCGTTTTCCTAAATTTTAGAGGTCCATGTATTCGCCACTGGTCCAAACCACTGCTCCCTCCTCTCTCTGTATTCATTGTCTCTCTCCGGTGACAATCTGTCGCCGCCACAGAACTGATCCTCCCTCTCTCCTGTGTTCACTATCTTTCGAGACTATAAGACCATCCACAACATGGGAGGAAGGAAAATGTGGAGAAATAGAGAAAAAAGGAGTGTTTGGTCACAACGTGGGGTGGGGGGAAAAGGGTAATTGGTTGAACGCTTTTTTGGTAAAATCAATCTAATTAGTTGATTTTATCACTTTATTTTTATATAATGATCATTATTTTTACATAGTTAATGATAGTAAATTAATATGAACATTTTGATATATATTTTTTAATTTGGACATAAAAAAATTTCATCACTAATTAACATCATTAATAACGAAATCATAATAATATACACAAGAAAATTGTTACATTAATAATTGAACATAAACATAATTAAAAAGAAATAAAAACAAACAAACACTAAACCGTAAAAAGAATAACAAAAAAAAAACAAAAAACAACTTAACGCGGACCCACCTCCACCCCTGCATCCCTTTTTTGTCTTTTATAGGTGGATATTCCTTCCCATTTTTCTCCATTTCTCCATCTTCTACCATTTTCCCACCCACGTTGTGGGCTTCTTTCCCATTTTTTCTTTCCTTCCCCTCCGACGATTCTCTCTCTTGACAGAGGAATGGAGGAAAAAAATGAGAAAGTTACAAAATAATGTTAACAAATATGATTATAAACATTACAAAGTAAAGATAGAAAAATTATTATAAAATATACAAATCATATTCATAAAATTATACAGACAAATATCATAATGTAGACAAATCAAATCATTGGAGTATAATAAGAAAACGAGGTTATAGGACTAGTAGAGATTATGTACCTTATAGAGTTATAGTTAGCAAAAACGACAAACAAACCAACAACTATCAATAAAAGTACCACCACTAGCTATCACTAGTCACTACCACTACTTCTGTTACTACCGCACTAAGCACTACCATAACCGCAACTACTTTGGCTAATTGATCAAAATGGTCACCAAGGTTTATCCTGATAATAAAACGGTCACAAATGTTTAAAACATAACAAAAAGATCACTCAAGCATTATGATATAACAAAATGAATTTCCTCCATATCTCCATCCAAAATATGTTGCCTGCTAGCTTTGCTCTGGAGAAGATATAATTGCAGAGATAGGTTAGGTGTCTGATATATATATATATGATGGCATCTTTGGTGCACTAATTTTTTTGGTGCATTCAGTGCACTCGCTTCATAACCGTCATTATAAACATGCGATTTATGTCAAAATGATGTCAATCATTACTTATGATGTGATGAACAATAACACACATGAATTTGCACAAAAACCATTAAAAATTTACTTTTAATTTGAAGGATTTAGGGTTAGGGTTAGGGTTTACGATTTGGGGTTTAGGGATAGAACTCAAAATTGGAGGTCTAAGGCTTAGGGTAATCCGCTAATTAGTTGTTATCATATGTTATATCATCATATTAAACTAAGTCTACAAATTAAAATTCAAAATTCGACACCTTAATACTAGTTTTTGAGTTGAGTGCACTGAACGCACTCATTTTTGTGAGTGCACCGAAGTAGTCACCATATATATGTATCTTTTGTATACAACATTCTTTTTGCTATAGCAGCTAGCATTTGACTAATGTTGCTCACTAACTGATAGATCTTCTTTAAAAATGGATGGTATACAGGTGAAATTCCCATTGAATTAGATAATCTAAATGCTCTGGAAAAACTCGTCATGCGTGACAACAAGCTCAATGGGTCAATCCCTAAGACCATATTCAACATTTCCTCCTTAAAGGTGATAGAGTTTTCTTTCAATGAACTATCAGGAGATCTCCCAATAACTACATTGGGCTCACAACTTACCAATCTTGAGTGGCTTGGTGTAAGCAGTAACAACCTCAGTGGAAGCATCCCACCATCAATCTCCAATGCCTCTAAGCTTTGGGTTCTGGAGCTATCTAACAACACATTCCACGGCCGTGTTCCTGATGCCCTTAGCAATCTGCAATCCATCCAATGGTTTCACATATGGGGCAATAGAGATCTCGTTGTTCCTCCTTCCTTCCTCACTTCTCTGACGAGGTGCGCTCATCTGGAAGTACTAGACTTTTCATCCACTCTGTTTGAGGCTGCACTTCCAAGTTCCATAGGCAACCTCTCCTCGTCCATGGAACAGTTTGTAGCACTAAACTGCGGGTTGAAGGGCTACATCCCAGATGCAGTTGGTAACTTGAGCAACTTGGTGAGGCTCGAGCTCTCATCCAATCAGTTAAGTGGATCCATCCCGCGAGCGATACAACGATTGAGGATGCTCCAGGGTTTGAATCTTGCAGATAATGAGTTGCAGGGACCCATTCCTAATGAGCTTTGTGAGTTGCAAGCATTAGTGGAGCTATCCTTAAGTGACAACAACCTTTCTCGACAAATTCCAGAGTGCTTAGTCAAGCTGACTTCCCTGCAACTATTGTACTTGCAGTTCAACAAGTTGAGCTCTGCCATACCTTCTTCATTTTGGAATCACAGCTCTTTGATAACATTGAGCATGGAGGGAAACTTTCTAACTGGTCATCTTCCTCCACAAATCAGCAACTTGAAAGCCATGGTTGAGATGCGCTTATCAAGGAATCGTTTGTCAGGTGACATTCCTGCAAGTATTGGAGGTCTTACAAATTTACAATACTTGTATATGGATCAAAACAATTTCCAAGGCCCCATTCCTGATACTCTTGCCAGCATCTTCACTTTGAAATCCTTGGATCTCTCGTCCAATAATCTCTCCGGCGATATCCCGAAATCCTTGGAGTCACTGAGGGATCTGCAATATTTCAATGTATCACATAATCAACTATGGGGAGAAATACCCAGTAAAGGTGCGTTTGAAGAACTTTCCTCAGATTCATTTAAGGGGAATCCTGCATTATGTGGGTTACCCAAGTTTGGGGTTCCGTCGTGTCCTCGACCCAGGGAAAAGAAACTTGGACATAAGCACTCAAGAAAGTTACTTATTGCACTCATTCTCTTCCTAGTGGTTGTTGCTATTGCTGCTCTGTTTGTGGTGATATTTTGTTGGCGGAAAAGAAAAGTAGATGAAAGAAGCAACAGGGGAGAAGAATCACCTTTGATTAAATGGAAACGAATTTCCTTGCTTGAGCTTCAGAGAGCAACTAATGGATTTGATGATAGCAACTTGTTGGGAAAAGGAAGCTTTGGTCATGTGTATAAAGGGGAGTTAGCAGACGAAACCGATGTAGCCGTGAAGGTGTTCAATGATTTGAAAGAAGAAGAAGCCAATGAGGTTGCGATTGATGTTCATCACGAATGCGAGATTTTGTGCAATCTTCGCCACTGAAATCTGATCAAAATTGTTAGCATCTGTTACGCAATCGATTTCAAGGCATTAGTGCTGGAATTCATGCCAAATGGAAGCTTGGAGAAGTGGCTATATTCTCACAACTACTTCTTAGACATCTTACAGAGGTTGAACATTGTGATAGATGTTGCATCTGCTCTCGAATATCTCCATCACGGTTATTCGGTTCTTATTGTTCACTGTGATTTGAAGCCCGAGAACGTGTTGTTGGACGGAGATCTAGTTGCTCGTCTAGGTGATTTCGGCATTTCCAAGTTGCTAGGTGGCGTTGATTCCATCACCCGGACATTAACGTTGGGCACAGTTGGATACATAGCACCAGGTGTGTTAAAAATACAAGATAAATTTATATGCAGAATATAGTATGCATGCACTAATTGGTTTAGCGCTTTTGTGATTGCAGAATTCGGTGGGGAAGGAATTGTGTCGATAAAGAGCGACGTGTATAGTTTTGGTATTCTACTAATGGAAGTTTTCACGAGAAGGAAACCCACAGAGGAATCATTTGACGGGGGAAGGAACATGAAGCAATGGGTTACTACATTACTACCTACGAGAGTGACTGAGCTTGCTGATGCAAATTTGTTGACGGATGAAACAAGAATACACCTCACGACTAAAGTCGATTGCATATCATCAATTATGAAACTCGCATTAACATGTTGCATAGACACACCTGAAGACAGGATGGATATTAGTGATGTGCTTTCCAATCTTAAGAAGATAAAGTTACAAATCTCAAAGTCGAGACGCTTGGATTGCGAATTTAAATAGATAGAGTGGATTCGTACTTATAGCTAGCGTTGAAGTTGAGATACTATTAAATTGGTGATGATATGTATAATGAAAATCTTGGGTAGCAATGACTCACGTAGTTCTTGCTCTGTATGTGTTGAAACTTTAAACTTTATATCAAAATTCTCGCTTGTAATACTGCAAATATAATGGACTTCTTTTTTTCTTTTTGAAATGCTTCTAAGTGTGTACCTGTTTGCAAGTGTTATATATGGTGGTGAGTTTAACGTAGTTAAATGTCAGCAACAAATAGAGGCGAAGTCAGGATTCCCTCTATGCCCGCTGTGTGATGAGAATGTTGAGACCGTTATGCACTGCTTGTTCCATTGCTCCAAAGCATGTGAGACTTGGTCTCGACTTGGCATGGGGGATGTTTTCCCTGCCGCGGATTCCCGTTTTGTGGATTGGTTCTTCAATCTCAGGGAAAGGTCATCAACGGACCAGATTAACAAGATTGTGTGTACGATGTGGAATGTCTGGATTGCTCGTAATGGAATGGTCTTTGAAGGAAAGGTGTTCTCCCCGCCTACTGTGGCAATTCTAGTTGATAGAGATTTTCAAAGGGTTAAGGAAGCTAGGACTCTGGGCACGGTTTCCCCTTCTTCCATATCAGTCGGTTTGCCTTCTCAGCCCGGGAGTTCTCGGTCGACGACCTTATCACCGCCTGGTCCTTTTAGTAAGGTTGTGCATTGTGACAGTTCCTTTGTTTCTGATGCACAGGTGGCGGCATATGGGATTGCTATTGCAAATTCCCACGGTCAGGTTATCAACGGGAAAGCTGAGAGATTCTTTTGTTCTTCTCCGATTCAAGCTGAAGCTTTTGCAATTCTTAATGCAATTATCTTGGCAGCCCTGGATCTAGTCCCAACGTGTATCCGATCTGATTGGCAGAGATTGACGGCTGCGTTAAAACAGGATCCAAGCCTTTGGCCATTGCAATGCCAGGCAACTCTTGCCCGGGTTGTTTTCATTCTCTGTGTCTCTCCGTGGATCTGGGTTGAGTTTGTTCCCCGTCGATTCAATGCCTTTGCTTATTGGATTGTGAGAAACGCTCGTCTTGATCTCCTTCCTTCTGAATGGATTGTCATTGCTGATCTTGTCGCTCCATTATTGTAATTGTATTGCTTCCCACTTGTGTGGGTTTGGAATGAAATGATGATTGATGTTGTTAAAAAAAATTCCTCTACCGTCAGTACAAAGAGTGATATTACTAAACTCGCTAATCAAATCAGTGACATAATCACACAACATAACATGTCTATACATGACAACTGTTAATAATATTTTTTTTTAAATGTGTTCTGTGCTAATATTCATAAACATTTGTTAAAAAAATGTTCACAATAGTTGTTAAAAATATTTACAACAACTGTTAACAATATTCACAACACTTATTAAGTGTATTCAACATAAAAAAATGTCCACTTTGCAGTTGACTCTTTTTGTTCCTTGGATCATTCCTCTTGATCCTTTTGTATTTTGTACATCTCTTTTTCTTTTCAATGCAACTTCACCATTATAAAAAAAAATACTCCAAAATATATTGTAAGAATGTCAAACATATTGTAACTGATAAGAATATGCCATGTGGTGTGTATGAATATGCCGGTCTATATATTAAAACACCTAAAAAAATGTGAATAATACATATCAAAGTCATCATATGCAAAAGGATAGTTTATTTACAAGTTCTCTTGAAAAATAATGTTTTGGGCCTCAAAAATAAAAAAAAACATAATAAGAAAAGTGCTCGCGACATATTTTTCCAAATCCACATAAGCTAAATGTAACTTTTTAGAAAAAAATATATATATATAGTCAGTTTGTCAAGTGATATATCCTTTATCATCTTTCCCAATGCCGATATTTGTTTTCATCCCTCCACTTCAACAAAGACACCGCTATATTGGAAAATAGCTGTGAAGTAATGTTGTTTTGTGAATTTTTTTTTGTGAATTTTTTTGAAAAATGTTTATTGTGGGGAAAAATATCCACACAAATTTCATAATTATTTATTACTAGAGGAAACTCGTGAAGCTTCATTGTTATTTAACTCAACAACTTCTGAAGGAACTTTTATTTTTAATTTTTAATTTTGTTAGCATATTGTTTGGATGCAGCGCCAATCCAATTCCTATGACTACTTGTCATCGCTAATATGTTACTAACTAATCTGATAAGATTTGTCTCATACCTCAATTGGTTAGAGCTATGAAGGGTAAACGCGGTAAAAAAAAAGTTGCATTCTTTTTTATCAATCAAATTTATTAAATTATTAATAATTAGCCAAACGTTAACTTTCAGTTAGCAATTTTATTAGTAATATTGACTTGCCAACATGATACTGACTTTGGAAGAGACTCATGGAGATCAGCACTCCAAAACTTTATTATTTTAAGTAAGAAAAGAGTTACAAATTATTAACGATAACGTAAAAATGACTAACATTTTGATGCATTACATAAGATTTGACTAATTATTAGTATCTCGATTGGTTTGGCTAATAAAAAAAAATGCTGAAAAAATTTGATTCATAATTAGTGTTTACCCTGAATATTATACGTAAATATTGCGTAATGATTAGGAATGTTTCTTATCTAAGGAGCAAGGACGCAAGTAGAGTGTGGAAAGAACGCGTAAAAGAGAAGGAAACCCAAGACTTCCTATTCCACTGCTTGACTGACTTCCAAGTTCCAACTTGGCTATGATATTTCACAGATGAGGCTCCGAGCTTCTTTGTAAAACTGACCGACTTCTATCACTCTGCCCAACAGTGCTCTTAAACTGTCTTTTATTCTTTGCTTAGTTTCCACCACTTAATTGCTAGATACGACACCAAAGGCATAAATCTGCAGGAAATATCAGAGCTGTCGCTTCATTGGGAGACTTGAATCGGGTCCCCTGTGGAAAATACGCCAAGGAATCAAGAGGATGTTATGTTAGTCTCCACAAAACTGTTGATTGATTGGCCTACTAAATTCCCCTGTTGTAAATCTATTCCCTTCTCTGTTTTCACTGTTCTGCCATCTGATCCATCGTATCTTTCTCCACCCACAAGCAAAACTATATTTTACATATATAAATAAAACAGATCGATCAGGGACTCTTTTGGATCGACTAGCTCACTCACCCACAAGCAAACTATTATGATGATGTATTACAACGCTTTCCATTTCCTTAGATCCAGTCGCCTGATGATTCCTTTGCTTTTACTAATGCACCACTACTGCTTCTTCTTCGCTTCCACTTCCACTGCTGGTGGTTATTATGATCACGATTACCGCAACGATGCAGCAGCTCTGCTCCAACTCAAAGCCCACTTCGCCAACACTTCTTCTTCCACTTCTAATCATCGTCTCTTCCGTAACTGGACCGCTGCCACTGCAGCCGACGTCTGCAGCAACTGGGTCGGCGTCTCATGCGGTCGTCGCCACAGAAGAGTGACCTCCCTGAATCTGGCAAACATGGGGATACAGGGGACTCTGCCTCCCCACCTTCAAAACCTCTCCTTCTTGGTTTCTCTCGATCTCAGCGGCAATCTCTTCCATGGGGATTTGCCGATATGGTTATCTAAGTTGAGAAGATTGAAGATCATCAACCTTTCTGATAACCAATTTGGAGGTAACATCCCACCGTCGCTTGGGGATCTTGGTGGTTTAAGGGTGCTGGATTTGGAGGGAAACCGGCTTTCAGGTGGGATACCAACCACAATCTTCAACGTTTCTTCATTGGAGAGATTGATATTGGCAAACAATAGCTTATCTGGAAGCCTTCCTGATGATATCTGCAATCAATTTACGAGAATTGAGGTGCTAAATGTTTCTATAAATTACCTGGAAGGTCGAATTCCATCTGGGTTGGGGAATTGTGGTGCATCTCTTAAGAACTTATCGTTTGCCTATAATGGGTTCACTGGATCGATTCCGAAGAGCATCGGGAATTTGACTGCGCTCGAAGCTCTATCTCTCTCGTTCACTAACTTAACAGGTACTCGGTATCACGATTTTGTTTGGAGAAGAAGGAAAAAAAGACCATATGATTGTTAAAAATAACGATAAATTGTTTGATGTTGTAGGTGAAATACCGTACGAGATCGGTAACCTTCGGAGGTTAGAGATACTTAAGGTGTGGCATAGTGGCGTATTCGGGCTTATTCCACCTGTGATATTCAATATTTCTACTCTCCAAAAATTGGATCTTTCTGAGAACAGATTATCTGGAGTTCTGCCTCCAGAATTGTTTTATCATGCGCAAAAATTAAGAGTTCTATATTTGGAGGATAATCAATTACAAGGCGAGATTCCTGTGAGTATTGGAGATTGTATGAATCTTCAAATTGGCTGGTTACATTCTAATAAGTTCTCTGGAAATATTCCATCAACCATTGGAAATTGCAGCATGCTCAGAGAGTTATATTTAGGCAATAATAATTTGTCAGGTACGTGTGTATTTATTAATTTGATTTCATACATGCGAGTTCTTACTTATTTTTATGCGTTCTTACTTATTTATTTGATTTCATACAAACTATCAAAAATAGAGTCTTTGCAGAATATCAATGTACCTCGTGATTTATAATGATAGAGAATTGAATGATATGAGTATAATTTAGAAACTCTGTCTATGAAGACATGGCACGTGAATACATTATTGAGACCATGTATTTAGTTTTTATTTTATTTCAAACATATATAAAAATGGATATTGTTATGTAGATCGCATAAAGTCTGAATCTTTATGCAAAATATCTAAATTTGTAGTTGGAACAAAAGGAATATGGGTTGAATAAGAATAAAAGAGGAGCTGGAAAGAAGAGAGAGAGTGTGCTAAGTGATTGGATGATTGAAACTACTAAAAAGAAAAAGGTAAATGAAAAATCAAATAATTTTTAAATCTAGACCGTTTGATCTATATAAAATAGCAAAATAAAAAGGAGTTAATATAAAATTTGATTGGTTGTAAAAAGTGTTGATGTGGATGCATGAGAAAGCAAATAATTTGAAACTATGAAGGATGTAAAAGTATTTATAATATATATACCCTAAACACTAATAGGTGAACTCCAGTCTTTAATTCCCTAACCCAAGCCATGAGATTCATTTAATCTAAAAAAATAATAACCGACGGTTCTAATTTAGCGAAATATATTGAAGTGCAAAATCAAGTGTGAACACAGGCGTACAGCGTACACCTGACGTAAGCTAGCCTTTGCCACATATATATACTAGCTTATAACTCGGCTTGTTGGCTGGAATGTTCATATTTGATTATTTATATTTTATATTACGTTTAAGTCTATCAAACAGTTTAATTTTATTAATAATCCTTCAATCGAGATTATACATTAAGAAAGAATTTATAGGTCGAACATTCGGAGAAATATCATCATCATTTAACTTTTAAGAATATAAAATATAAAAATGTATCATTGATCCCATTTTCATAATGATAATTAAGCTCCAATTAAAATGTTGTTGTTTAGTTAATTGTCAAGAAAGAGTATAAAAGCTCACTGAAATTCTTTTGCTTGTACTTGGACTCTTCTTTCTCTTTCCATTAATTCATTCTCGGCATTATAAAAAAACTCATTGTAATTACCACGTAGTTTGAAACTAAATCTTAAACTTCAGAGTCATACATAAAGAGTTCAATGCTATGCTTTTAGGAACAATATGTCACTAATCAAAAAGAAATGGAGAGTTATTGATTCAAGTCAACTATATACTAACAACTCAGCTAAGAGGGGACCGTCAAAACTTGAGAGCAAACGAAAAAATTTGGGTTACCTCCAATATACTAATAGACTCGATCAAAGTAATAAGGACCAAAATTAGAAACTCATTATATATAAGTTCTAGTAGGTTGAATAAAGAATCGACCAACTTCAGTAAATCAATCAATGATTCCTTATTTTAAGATAGAAATAGGTTGTGATAGTTGCAATAACCATAAACCTAAAGATCCAATAACCACCACTGTCTGTTGTACAACCAAATTTTTATCCACTCTATCTTCAATCTCAAGAGGCATATGTTTCAACCAAAAATTCAATTCCTAATCCTGCTTCTGCAACTCCATTTATTGAACTTTATTCTATTCGCCATGGATTGATATCAAAGTTGAAATCTTCTACTTCCCCATCTTAAATCCCCAACAATAAAACCGTAGAGCCAAGAGATATTGAAAGATTGATTTTTAAGACGGCCTTGTACTGGGAAGTGAAAGGGGCACAAACTATTGCATGATGGAGGAAATTTTGGAGGAAGTTAGGAAGAGATAAGAACAAAGATTAAAAAGTACTAAATTTAAATTGAAAATGCAAGGACATAACCCGTAGTAATAGAATTAGTTTTTCTCATGTTAGACTATTACCAATTTACCTTTAGCGAAAATTAAGGAGAGAGCAATAATTTTAAAATTGAGAAAATTATATGAAACTCTACTATGAAAATTGTAGTATCAAGCACCACAAAAATACATACGGTAGTCTTAGTGGCTTGCTAATCATGATGGAAAAGTCCTCTTGTTTTCAGACTTTCACTTCATCTATGTTTTGTATTAAAAAGGATAATTTGTTTAGTGTAATTGGTTGTGATTGTTGTCTTTGTTTGAAGAGATCCTAGTTCAAATCCTTATATTGTTATTTTTATATGAAATAAATAATTACTTATAAAGACAAAAATATTCTTCCTACTTTCACCCTACTTACAGAAAAATACACAAAACTCTGCCATATGTTATTGGATGATTTTTTTTACAATGCATAAAAATTATTGGCTCGTTATCGAGAGAAACCAATTACTAGAAAACTAGTACTATTACAAGGTGACTACTGGTCAAGGATTAGGAAAAACAAGTCATAATTTTACCTAAAATCATAGTTAAATCTTTTATGTTGCAGGTGAAATACCATTTGAGATCGAAAATCTAAAGAGGATGGAGAAATTTAGCGGGCAATGCAATGGTCTTTCTGGAGTCATTCCGTCTACCATGTTTAATATTTCTACTCTTAAACAATTAGAGCTCGATGAGAATAAATTATCAGGAGTTCTACCGGACAACCTTTGTTATCGCACCCGAAACCTCAAACGATTGTATTTGAAGGACAACCAATTACAAGGCCAAATTTTTGCAAGTATGGTAAACTGTACATATCTTCAAGTTGCATCATTATCTGTCAATCAATTCTCCGGAAGTATTCCAGCAACTATCGGAAATTTCAGCATGCTCATGGTATTAAATCTCGCCGATAATAACTTGAAAGGTAGGTTTAGATTTACTATATAGTGCCCATGCTTTATGCAAATTTTACATATATATATATATATGAATTGTATAAAAAAAATTAATTTGGATTTATCTTGTAGAGTTATTTTATTTGCATAGCATATGATTTTGATTCATAGCAAGCTTCACTTATTTCAACCTAGGAATTTTAATTTGTACATTTTTTGGTATTTATTGATCAAGATGACAATAATCAAACCAAATTGAATATAATTTTAGTACATTTTGATTTTTATTCGAAGTTTCTTTTTTAGTTTTGATTTCATGGGTTATTTAGAAAACAAAGAAACTTATGTACCAAATCGAAGTTGAATCAATCCACATTCGATATAGAAGAGAGGGGGAAAAAACTAATCTAAGGCTCTTATTAAATGTTATAGGTGAAATCCCTAAAGAGATTGGTAGCTTGGATATCCTGAAGCGGCTCTACCTAGGTGGCACTTCCTTGCAAGGTTTGATTCTTCCTACTGATATTCTCTCTAAATTAGTAGTTTACGTTGGCAGGAGAATTTTATTTTATTATTTATATTAATTAATTTAATTATATGTTTAAATTTTTGTGAATTTTAATACTTAATAGTTAGAATACTCGCTCATGATGTTTTGATTCTCTAATCATAAATCATATCGTGAAGGTTTATCACGTCTAATTTAGAATTGTATATCAAGAGTTGTTATCCAAGACTCTCGAATTTATTATCTTATACAACATATACCAATTCGAGATTCTCGAGTTTGGAAGAACTCTCAACCAATTGACAATAGTTCAAATTATTGGATAAATATACTTGATTACTAGATAAATTCAATTTATCCCAATTGGACTTGACACACATCGTACCATTTGTTATGATTAAATTCTCTAATCTTCACTCATTTTCATTGTGGATGTTCATGAACTATCGGTATAGGATTTTATGACAAAATTTGTCTTCAAGACACTCAAATTTAGTATCTTATACCATACAAATCAATTGCTAATTTTGAATTTGGACCAACCCTCAACCCAATATGGTTGTTGTCTACATGTTGGTTATAATCTCAACCCAAGACATTCACATATATTATCGATGATTCTCGTCTTAACATGATCCTTCAGTGTATAATTTTCCAATTGTTTGAATGTGCATTCGCTAAAATTTATCTGTCTTTTGTGTTTGTTGATACAAACATTGCGACATTTCACATGCATATGAATTCTAGGATCTATTGTAGGCACATCTATTGTTAGTTTTCAAAAATATACATATAAGGAGTTTATTTTACTTCAGCCATAATAAATACCATTAAACTCGACTCGTTGGGTGGGATATGAAAAACAAATTTGCTAGGGTAGCTCGTTGTAAATACAAAATCTTTACTCTTACAAACTAAAATATTTTCATTTTGAGACTTTGATATCGGAAAAGTTTTTGTTACAACAAAAATTTGGTATTGAATCACAGACTCACAACCACATAACCAAATGACTTCTACAGCTGTCTTACTGATATCATCCTTCCTTATTAAAGATTCTTCATTTTAACCCAGTCATCGGTTTAGACTCTTGTAATTATAAAGGTTTTTGGTTTAGATATATCAACTAGCACAATATTGTTTATTCATAGCCTCAATCGTCGAATTTAGTTTTGTCAATCAAGACATTCAAATATTAATAAAAAAATTTAAACCTTTATCTGATTAATGCATAGGTCAGCGATTGATGAAACATGACGTATAACGTACATCCTTAACAAAAATTCACTAACTTTCACACATATCATTTTTCAATGTATCTCGTGTCTCATTCTAGGATATGAAGTCAAGTTCATCAACAATTATACCGAAGTCATTTTGAAAACTTTGATTATACTCCTTGATATTGATAACTCCAAGTCTGAAAAATTAAATTTCTTAACATATGACATAAGAATTCAACAGAGTTTGTTTAATTAACATGATCTAGAGCAAAATATAAGTAATTTGAACTTATAATACATTATAAATTATTGCACTTGTGATTCATATGTTTTCACTTAATCAGAATTAATAAGATTTATTTAAGAAATGGCTAAATTACATGTTTGATGCACCAATCAAAATAGTAGTTGTTAAGAAAAAATAAGGCAAAATTCAAGCTTTAGTTATGGACTCAATTAGGCCAAAATTCAAGCTAAAGAAACAAACAAATGTCATTGAAAATGTGTAAAAATTGAAAGAACATCGACATAGATAACCTAGAGACCTCCACCGCCATTTGCTTTCTTCTCATGACCTTTATAAAACCACACATATGTTCCCCTCCTCCTACATACTATTTACTGACCATATCATCATCTTATACCTAGTTAGTAGCAAGTCACTCATGAACATAATAAACATAATAAGCAACCCTCACAAGTCACAACTATACTTTCCATTTTAACATCCAAGGAATTGGGTTGCAATAGGCCTCGAGGAAAACGATCACTTATTCAACCACATGAGAGATGTATAAGTCTAAGCAATAACCCTTTAAATAATCAATTACCAATTTACATAAAAGTACGATATAATAAAGATTAACGAACCATAAAACAACTAAATGAAAAGCGAAGAAGTAATACATTCGTTGAATCAAGCAGGGATATTTGTCATCCCGCTGTCGTAATCTAGAAGAAATTAAGAAAAGAATGGAAAAAGGGTATAACTCGGCCAGTCAACCGCAAGCAGCCACATATCTCCTGAGGAAGAGAGAATAGTTGCCAGTTGCAGATCAAGGGGGAAGAGGGAGCACTCGGCTTGGTCGCTTCGTCTTCGAAATGATATGATAAACTTTTTTTCATCAATAGGCATAAATATTACATTGCTGAACTGTTTCTCATCTAATCATTGCCTCCAGTAACTCCCCAACTTCTATTCTCCTACAAAGAGAAAAAGAACTTTATATGTCTTACCATTTCCTTCTCTATATATATATATATGCATATAATTAGATGATAAAAAGAAATCTCAAAATCTTGAGCAAATGGGAAGAGAGTTTTTTTTTTGTTTGTATTGGGGCTTGAACCTTTATTTTCTTATTTTCAATGTTGGGTTTGATTTTTATACTGAGAATTTGTATGGGAAAAGGGATAGGAACAAACCGAAATATTCACTCATTGTCACTAACTAAATTACATTGTATTGATAATGATGGCAATTTAAAGAGTAAACAAAAACCAACATCAGCAAGAATTAGAACTTGTCCACCGTGAAAGGGTAAAAACTTAGGACAAATTATAAAATCATGCACATGTGATTCCTCGGAATTTGGAGAATTTAAGGTAGAATATGAATATATGTTTTCACTTAATCGAGATGAATAAAATATTTTTTAAGAAATAACTATTATTGCTCAGTCAATATAATATTCAGACTTTTTATTATATAATAGTTCACTTTTCAAAGTCGATTGATTGACAAACATTTGTTTTCTCTCTTTCTATCACTATATTTTGTTTAATAAAAATGTAATAAAATATTTGTGTACTTCTTTAATTTTTTCTTCAGAATTTAATGCATTATTAAATTTTGATGAAGATGAGTATAAAATTTACTTAATAAGACTTTATCAAATATTTTTGGTTTAAGCAAATGCAATATATGTCTCTTTCTGTCTCCATCTTTATATTTTGTTTAGTTGAAAAAAATATTGTTACTTATATGTGTGTTTATATGAATTCTCATATTTTAATTTATTATTAATTTTAGTAGAAATATTAAAAGAAAAAAGAGATAGCTCCATAAATAGATCAATAATTAATTATTTTGTTTGTAAAAAAATTGTCCACGTTGGCACATTGTGAATTTTCTAAGTGCTTATGTGACAAGAAATTATTTTTGAATTACCATAATAGATAGTATAGATAGATAGAAATAGATATAGATATAGATAGATAGCTAATATTCCGAGTAAAAAAATAAATGCAGTCACTTTATCATGGCACTATTTCATTCAATGTTGGTAATAATCATGTAGGATTCGAAAATTATTGGGAAATTTAACTGTGCTCAAGCAAATGGTTATTTACCATAGTCATCATTTAATTACACATACGTTTTTTAAAAATACAAAATTTCTTTAGATGATTGGGACTTGTTTAATTAGTATCCTCCATCTCCTCCTAATAAAAGATCATGCATCTTCCTCTTCTTTCACTTTTTACATCATGATTAACGATCTTCTACGATGTTAGGTGAAATTCCTCCTGAATTGGGTAATATTGATGCACTAAAAGTTCTCAGCCTCAGTGAAAATAAGCTAAGTGGGCCTATTCCGTTGAAGATTTTCAACATCTCATCTATGCATTGGATGGATTTTTTCGACAACAAATTATCGGGGAATCTCCCACCAACCTTGGGCTCACAGCTTCCGAATCTCAAGGTTCTCAATGCTTGGGAAAATCAGCTTAGTGGAAGCATCCCGCCCTTTATCGCCAATGCTTCTAAGCTTGCTTTGTTGTCCCTAGATGAAAACTCGTTGTCTGGTCGTGCACCCGATGCCATTTCCCGTTTGGAATTTCTCCAAATCCTTAAGCTTGGAGAAATTTTACAATGCTATATAGTATTGGTGCTATAGGTTTTTGCCTTTATGGTACAACTTAAAATTGTACATTTACGTTATGGTACAACTTCAGATTGTACCTATACTTTTTGCACAAATTCTTTTATGGTACAACTTGAACTTGTACAATTATGTGATGGTACAACTTCAAGTTGTAAAGTTGTACCATAACATAATGATACAAATTGTTTTATGGTACAACCTAAACTTATACATTTAATGTTATGGTACAACTTTAAGTTGTACATTAAAGCACCAATACTATATAGCATAGTAGAAGTGCTCTTAAGCTTGACGGCAACAAGAGGCTTGTTGTGCATCCATCCTTTGTCACTTCTTTGACGAGATGCACTCGTTTGAAACGATTGGATATATCAGGAACTTCATTTGAGGATGCTTCACTCCCAAGCTCCCTAGGGAATTTTTCATCTCTAGAAGAATTTTATGCGTATGAGAGCAGAATAACAGGTATCATCCCTGATCAAGTTGGTAACATGAGTAATATAAACACTTTTGCGCTCTCAGGAAATCGGTTGACTGGATCCATTCCAAAATCCGTAAGACAGCTGGGGAAACTTCAGTACTTGGCCTTAGATCACAATGAGTTATTCGGACCAATTCCTAAGGAGCTTTGTGAGTTACACACATTAGGTTACTTATTATTCCTGGGTTACAACAATTTTTCTGAACAGATCCCAGGGTGCTTACATAATCTAAGTCTTCTTCAACATCTTGGCTTGGAATTCAACAAGTTCAGCTCGCTCTGTGATACCTTCTTCACTTTGGGACATGAGCTCCTTGTTGAGATTGAATCTGGGAGGTAATTTTCTTAGTGGGTCTCTTTCTCCACGAGTCGGCAACTTGAAAGGCTTGTATTGGATGCGCTTATCAGGGAATCAACTATCAGGTGAAATTCCTGCAAGTATTGTAACTCTTGTAAATTTACAAGAGTTGTATTTGAATCAAAATCGATTCCAAGGACCCATCCCAGATTCCTTAACCAACATGCATGGTTACTTTGAAATCCTTGGATCTGTCATCCAACAATCTCTCAGGTGTTATTTCCAAATCCTTGGAGTCCTTGAGGGATCTAAAGCATTTCAATGTATCACATAATGGATTATGGGGAGAAATCCCAAGTGAAGGACCATTTGCAAATTTGTCGTCAGATTCATTTGAGGGGAATCCTAGGTTATGTGGGTTACCCAAGTTTGGAGTACCCTTGTGTCCTAAACCAAAGGGAAAGAAACTTGGACTGAAGCGCTTGGGGAAATTAGCGATTAGCCTTCTCTCCCTAACGGCTTTTGCTACGGTTGTTGTAGTTGTGGTGATCATTTGGTGCTGGAATAGGAAAGTAAGGAACAGAATGAGTGGAAGGGAAGAATCTTTGCCTGTAACTAAATGGAGAAGGATTTCCTTACTCGAGCTCCAAAGAGCAACAAATGGGTTTGATGATTGCAACTTGTTGGGAAAGGGAAGCTTTGGTTGTGTGTACAAAGGGGAGTTAGCCGATGGAACCAGTGTAGCTGTGAAGGTGTTCAATTTCTCGGAAGAAGAAGCCGATGTTGACACGATTGACGTTCATCACGAATGTGAGATTTTGTGCAATCTTCGACATAGAAATCTGATAAAAATTATTAGCATTTGTTATGCAATTGATTTCAAGGCATTAGTATTGGAGTTCATGCCAAATGGAAGTTTGGAGAAGTGGCTATATTCTTACAATAACTTTTTAGACATCATTCAGAGGGTGAACATTGCGATAGATATTGCATCTGCCCTCGAGTATCTTCATCATGGCTATTCGGTTTCGATAGTTCATTGTGATTTGAAGCCTGAAAACGTGTTGCTAGATGGAGATCTAGTTGCTCATCTAAGTGATTTCGGCATTTCTAAGTTGCTAGGTGGCATTGATTCCATCACTAAAACACGCATGTTTGGCACCGTTGGATACATAGCACCAGGTATGTGTTAAAAAACAAGATAAACTTCTATGCATAATATTATTGTGTGTATGCAATTATAAATTATTGGTTCCATGTTTTTGTCAATGTAGAGTATGGCGGGGAAGGAATTGTGTCGGTAAAGAGTGACGTGTACAGTTTTGGTATTCTACTCATGGAAGTTTTCACCAGAAGAAAACCCACCGAAGAATCATTTGATGAGAGAATGGATATGAAGCAGTGGGTTACTACATTTATGCCAGAGAGAGTAACCGATATTGCTGATGCAAATTTGTTGGCGGATGATTCAAGAGTAAACTTCAGGGCTAAAGTCAATTGCATATCATCGATTATGAAGTTGGCATTAGCGTGTTGTGCATACACACCGGAAGACAGAATGAATATCACTGATGTGCTTTCCCATTTGAAGAAGATAAAGTCGCAAATCTCGAAGTCAAGACGTGTGAGAATTTAAATAGATGAAGTGGATTTGTTGTAATAGTTAGCATTAAAGTTGGGATACCTTTATGTTGATGATGATAAGTATAATGAAAATCCCTTATAGCTATAGCGTACATAGTTGTTGTGTTGTACGTGCTTAAACGTTATGAAAATGATTGCTTGCAGTGCTGCAAATGTCTTTTGAGTGTCTATCTAGTTGCAAGTGTTATATATGGTAGCAGATATTGCATGTGCAGATTACATATTTTTACGTAAAAGCTAGTTAATATATATAAAGGTGCAGTTAGTTACTGTTACCAAACAATTTATATTTTGATACTCCAAATTTAATTAAATCATAATTTAGTCACTATAATGTAAATTTTATATTTTGATACCCCAAATTTAATTTTAATATAAAATCATTGAACAATTATGTTTTGGTATCTAAATTTTATGAGATTTTCGTACCTACAATTTTGTTAAATTTGCATATTGGTCCAATGTTTAGATTCCACTTGAATCCATGAATTTAATCCACCAATCCTTTTGAACCAATCCATTAATTCGATCTACCATAACATAAAAATACTGAATTGCTATTTGTCGCCCTAAAATTCAAATTTTATCGCCCTAAAATGTATCACATTGACACTCTTACCCTCCACTTTCAGTCTCATTTCTAATCAAAACCCTACAATCCCTTGCCTTGCCCAGCTGCCACCGAGCTCGTCTATCTTCCGGCCGCTTCTGTCACTGTCGATTTTTCTCTCGCCAGCTGCCCACCTCAACCCGACCGCCGCCGGTGCTCTGCTTATAGTACCGTTGGAGTCGAACCCAAGCAAAGGAGGAAGAAGACGAAGAAGGAGGCTGCCGCTTCCCTATTGCTGCTGCCGGATTCTTCTGTTGTTGAACTGCCCCTATGCAATAAACAATATGGAGCAGGTGGCCAATCCTCCCACCATTTTCCGGCGGGTCTATTTGCATTTTTTTCATTTGTATAATTGAAACTTGTAAATTAATTTGTTTTTGATATATTTTTTTATTGTGTATAGTTGTATGCATTCTTTTAGTGTTTATATGTTTTGGAAAACAAAAATTAAGTTAAGGATATTTACGTCATTTTAATAAAACTTAGGGCGACGAATAAGGTGTTTTAGGGCGACGAATAGCAATGCCCTAAAAATATGTAACCTACCTAACAATTTATATTTTGATACCCCAAATTTAATTAAATCACAATTTAGTCACTATAATGTAAATTTTATATTTTGATACCTCAAATTTAATTTTAATATAAAATTATTGAACAATTATGTTTTTGTATCTAAATTTTATGAGATTTTCGTACCTACAATTTTTTAAATTTGCATATTAGTCCAATGTTTATATTACACTTGAATCCATGAATTTAATCCACCAATCCTTTTGAACCAATTCATGAATCCGATCCACCATAACATAAAAATATAAATTTAGTTTGTACAATACAAGATGTTGTATCACTCAACTGTAGGAGAAGATTCGACCATTTTATATTTGCTCATTACGTGAAACATTAAATAAATGATAAAGAGTTACAACTCTAAGATATTGCAAGAGTGAATTTATAAACTCATTTAGTATATTTCAGGGGTACTAAACAAACTTCTACTAACTACATATAACAAAATATGCGACATCTACATAAATACTTGTCAATAATTTGCTACGGTGAAAAGGATTGACTGTTGTATTGACGACCAACTAAAAGAATTGGTCAAAACCTTTACATCATCTACTTTCTTTTCGTTTTATTTTTCACTCGCCTTCCATAACTCTTTCTTTATTTCTTTCTTTGCCTTCTTCGTCTAACCCTAATTAGTATATTATTTTTATGTATTCTAATCACAAGTATGAATGGCTCCATACACGACTCAGCAACAGTCTAGACAACTAATAATTAAACTATGAACCACTAACTTTTTTAGCTCAATGTCGAGCCCAATTAAAAATAAATGTATATGGTTATTACTTATTAGAAAGTCGTCATTTTCCACTATGAGATTTGATATATGTAGATATCTAGCAAAACATTCCATGTATATTTGTTGAAAATTCTAGCCCAGGTGAAAAAGAATAACTCTAGAGAGAAGCAAAAGGAATACAAACTTCCATCTACAAACATCCAAACTCATATACAAGTCAACCATACTCTTCCCATAATCAATGGGTCTACTTGGGTTTAGGTAAATATCATTTACTAGCCAAAATTTTCACAAAAAAAATATTAAGTTGGATGTTGACAGCCATATATCTCTTCTCAGTCAATATCATATTGCCAAGTCAATATTACTAACAAAACTCCCAACGAAAAATTAATTTTAGACTAATAATACTATCAAGACACCATAACGGGCCACATAATACATGTCTATAAGCCATCTCCACCCCGCGACACGGCGCGGCATCACCATCTAGTATAATTTATAGCTAAACCAATTCATTGAACAAGGCAAGCTAAAGTGATTATTCTTTAGAGGCTCTTCAAACTTCATGGTTAAAGTCATCAACTTCTCATAAACCTTTTTTCTTTTGTTGCCATTGTTTATTGTAAGGTTAATCCAATTCCAAAGACTACGATAAATAAGTCGATCGTTACTTACTTTTTCAACCAAATTGGTCCCGTAGCTCAGTTGGTTAGAGCGTTGGTCTTATGAGCCGAAGGTCGCGGGTTCGAGCCCCGCCGGGACCATTTTTTTGTTTCTACAACTCTCTTACCAATTAAACAGGGAGGAAATGAATTCTTCTATCAGGGAAACCCAATTTTTTAAAATATATTATACTAAGTATTATTGGATATCTATCCAAGCCAATCAAATTGATACCCTAGGCGGGACCATTTTTTTTGTTTCTACAACTCTCTTACCAATTAAACAGGGAGGAAATGAATTCTTCTATCAACTATAGGGAAACCCAATTTTTTAAAATAGGGAAACCCAATTTTTTAAAATATATTATACTAAGTATTATTGGCTATCTATCCAAGCCAATCAAATTGACACCCTAGATATTGTTGATTATGAGTATGGTACAAGGTTAATAGTAAAATTTGGCTTTTTTTCAATCCAAATTAAATTCAACAACTATATAGACTTGAAAATATGGTTAAATTGTCTTCCAGATGATATCGAATAAAAAATTTCGAACACATGTCCATAAGTTGATTAGATGCAATAATTAATGTCAGTTATTTTCCTATGAAAATGGATTCAAAATAGTTATACTCAAGATGGTTGTCCTGGTAGATTATTTTATATTGAAAACATTGGTTTCTCGTGGAAATTGGCTAAGAAATTACTCTTTAGTTTAGTTTTTTGCATCTAATAAGATCAATCACCATTTATTTTGGATACGTGAATTGATATGTTTTTTCAAGAAGAACTTATATCCACACAATAGTATGGGGCCAGTGATTAAAATTGTCATTTGATTGATGATATAATTAAAATTAGAGGATCATCTAAGTCTTGGGCGTTGATTTACCTCGACAAATAAGAAGTAAGGTAGACCTATACCAAAAAGGCTGGATAAGACACTAGTTAACAGTGCTTGGTTTTCAAATTATCCTATAGGAGTGTGGTCAGGCTATTGCTGCAGGTTTATCTAATCACTGTGAAGTTTTAATTCAGATGGATTCGAGGCTGAAATCGTGGCCTAAACAGTTTAATTACTTCAGTTGGCTCTGTATTGTTTGGTGTCTATAGGAAGCTTATGAAATTATAGGGTAAATGCCTCACTAGGTTTACTAAAACATGACACTAGAAATATTTAATATCAATATTAATCACTCGAATTACTAACAAAAGTGTTGACTCACCCTCCAGTTATGTCTCGTATGTGTTACAAGCACTTTATACTCTCATCGATCATGTTTCCATATACACTTAATTGGGTTTATTTCATACGATCGACAAAAGTCTGAACTTATTGAATGTGGCAAATAGTTTTTCCAAATGATTCAAACTCAATTTGGGAGAACAATCAAGATCATTCATTTAGATCCCGGGGGAGTTTAGCAAAAGATGAGTTGGTTGCTTTCTATAAATCTCGTGGTACTACTCTAGCACAACATTCTTGTTCTGGAATGTCGTCTCAACGGAACGAATTAGTTGAACGCAAAATATCTTCACGTTTTAGAACTTACACACGTGCGATTCTCTTTCATATTTCGATCGTTCCGCCAGAGACGGAATAAGCACTTATTGTTAGATTTGTATGGCTTGTTGGATCTGTATTAAGTTGTCTTTTTAAGATGGAAAGGGTGAGTGGGAAGAGAGAGAACTGTGGGTTTAATGGAAGAGATCTCAAATTAAATAGTTTGTTTCTTGACTTAAGTATGGTCATTTAATAAATCCGCCACCTTCTTTGTCATCTTCTTCTTCTTCTTCTCCACAACCCTTTTTCCTAACTTCTTCCCAATCCCTTCTTCTATATATTCTCAACCTCTCTCGTTTTCTTCTCTGTATATTCACCCTCACTTTCTTCAACCTCTTCGGCTTCCCTTTTCTTCTTCTTCTTCTTCTTCCAATCCTCTTCTTCTCCATTCTCTCTCCCATCACCATGAATTCGCACAACTCGAGCAGTTTCCTTAGTAATATTCACCACACTATGTGGAGCTCGTTCATTGCTACTCGAGAACAAGGTTTCTACTCCTTCAAAAGCTCAAATAACAGATTCAGGAGTTTATCATACTTCTGTTTTAAACAGAAACCTTAGACGACCAACCGCTTCTGGCCCTTCTCCTGGTGAAGGACATCACTCTCCTCCTCCTCCTCCTCCTGGTAAAGGAAATCATTGAGTAGTAGTTTAAATGTGTCGTCATTTTGCAGCTGAACCGTATCATATGGTTGATTGTACTCCATGCATGGTTAAAGAAATATACGTGGAGGAATAAAACTATATATGTACTGTGTACAGTTGCTCAAGCGATCTTTGTAATATTTTTCCTAGAATAAATTGAAACCAGATAAGAGTGGAAATGTTTGGTAAGAG